TAGAGCTGTTAATAACGGCAAAGCGAATGGTCCGCGACAGCCGCGTGCGGCGCATCGATTGCACAAAACCGATCTTACTGCCCGTTTCCTGGAATTGAATGCTGGGGCGCATCCCAAGCGAGATCGATTAACGTCAAAAACGTGATCTCTTACCTGAACATCCAAGCAGGGCCAAGGCCATGGAACGCCCATCATCTGTAAATATAACTTATTGAAATATGAGCAAAACGGCCTGAATTTCTGCATAATTGTCCCTGCAGGTACCCAATCCCTCTTCTCATGACTTTTTCATTCTTTCTTTTTTCTTTTTCTAGTCCATGATTCTACGCTTCTCCCTCTAATGACGAGAATCTGAAAATAAGTTTTTCGAGTCGGCCGAGTTACTCTTCTGTCCGATTAATAACTTGTAACTGGTGAAACAGGTAATAGCTTACATGAATTTGATCATTCCAGGGACATATGAGCTGATCGTGCTTGCTTCACAATGGATCCACGTGAAGCAGCACAGTATGGGAATGTTGAAAGGCTGCAACAATTGCTAGATAGCGGTGAGTTTTTTCCCTTAGCGATGTGGAAATCATTGGAATTTTACGGAGCTTCTGAAATATCTACGAGATACTTATCGATTTTTTTGTAATCGTGTTCTCGCGTGGTGCCACTAATTTTCATTTTCAAACTCGTCAACAACAATGTGATAAACAATTTTCAATTTCATGTAAACACCTGAGTCCAACCATTCACATGAGCATAAAGTGATTACTAAAGAATATGGTAAACATTTGTGTCTCTGATAATTGCTGCTTTCAATGCGGTAATGAAAGGACAAAGAGAGAAATCTTGACGTTCCCTTGAATCGTCCATCTTCTATTTGGATCTGGGCGATCTAGGCGATCTAGAACTCACACCAGTAGTTCGATTTCTTCTGTAGAATCCAGTTTTTATCGGTCGTTTGTTATCGTAAAGTGGTCAGCTTCCATAGCAGTCTATGGGCTTTTGTTACGTTCTAGTTTCCGGTTACTACTGGCTTAACTCGTGGCACGGTGATGGTATGCTCCACTATGTAGGGATTAAGGGGTCTACGTTCGTTTAGGTTTCAAAAGCAATTGTAAATTGTCTTCAGACTTACATAAGCAATTGCCGGCAGTGTGAAATGAGATACTTGAACGACGTCGCGTGTCAAGATCGAAATCTTGCATAACGGGATGGGACATTAAGCCCCATTAAGGATGGCGTAATCGCTTCCTTTGACGCCCGCCCCGTCACTAGCGTTTTGTCCTTGATGTACTTCAAAAGCAGGATAGCGAAACCATTCGTCACGAGTAAAATCACATCAGGCCTAGCGGTAAAGTTTTAATGGAGCTCTAGCGGTGGAGGGATGGAATCAGAGGGGTCCTCTCAGGATCGATCTTACTCGAAGGCGGAATTCAGGAGTTGTCAACTATCTGAAGTTTTCTACTCAAATGAAAGTGCTTCTATCCAATAGTAATAGATCTTCCGGAATAAGAATACCACAACGGTTGAACAACCGATAAGTGATTTACATGTGTGCCCTGGGGCTCGCGAACTTCAGCAAAACAGTGGAGACGTCCGATGGGATAGTTATGAATTACTACGATCCTTCGAGGTACTGTAGAAGACGATCCCCAAGAGACGTCAGCCTGATAAAACTTATATATGAACACGCTTTGATATCTCCTTCGCCCTCACCCCTTTCATCTTCCATTTACACAAGGGGCGGAGTTGGCGCCAGGGGGCGGGCATGTATGTTCTTGAACTTAGATAGTCGCAGACCGTATCTATTAGCAATTTGAATGTGGCCCTCTGCATAATTTAAGGGGCACTTTGTGATTCAGACGAACATTTGAGAAATACCAGAGTGCTATTTGGAAAATATCATAATTATTTAACCGATTCGATCTTATAATTCAGCTTCAGGTGCTATTACCCCGGACTGGACCGACTCGGACGACTGCTCTCTTCTTCACTGGGCTGCCATCAACAATCGATTACATGTAAGTGGAAAACCTCTTTAAAACACTCTTTCCGCATACAGTACCTCGCTGGCGTTACTCACCAATGCTTCTTGTGAAAACTCTAGCAGCTGGTTTTCTAGAACCTTCGGCTGCCGTCAATTTAGTAAACCAGTTGACTTAGATTTATCACCCTTTTGTAGGTAGCTGAGCTCCTCCTACGGCGGCGAGCCAATGTGAATGCTGTAGGAGGTGTGCTGGCTTCGACACCGCTTCACTGGGCTGCTCGACAGGGACACGTTTTGATGGTAGCCTTTCTGGTGACAAATGGTGCTCAGGTGGAAAAACGCGATGTTGAAGGTCATCATTCGGTAAATTTCCATGACGCCATTACTTATCCCACTATTTTCATGCAAATTTCAGGATTCACTCCACTCCATGTCGCAGCTCAATTTGGCGCCACTCCTGTCGTCGGTTACCTCATCGCCCGGGGTCAATCAGTCGACGCTCCAGATGAGTCCCGGATAACGCCAGCGATGTGGGCAGCAGCGAAGGTAGTACAACCTGTTAAAAACGCATGTTCTTACTGTAGACTATACTGCCCTCAGGCAGCAATGAGTTCGTTTGGTAAGAAGTTGTAAACGTTGATAAATCGGGATCATTCAGTGTTCTCAAACCGATCCCCTGCAATTGTTGATCACTCTCGGTGCTGATGTGAATAAAGCCGATGCTGCCTACCATAATACTCCACTTCATTGGGCTGCTACCAATGGAAATATTACTGCTGTAAATACTCTTCTCAAAGGTACAGATCATTCAGCAGCTGATTATTTCCTTACAAACATCACTCTTTGCTTAGCTGTTGATCATGGTTCGAAAAGGACCCGTTGGTATTGGAGTACCAGTGAAATAACAGCTATATAGGGTTGTTAGAGTTTGGGGTTTAGACGAGAAGAGAGAAAGTTTGGAACGAAAGGGATTGAGGAGCTGAATCAGAAGGGGACGTTACTCCACCCTTCCGTTCCAGCTTGCTTGCATAAGAGTTTTTGGAGGTGTGCCTTTGTTAACTAAGTACAATGAGAACTGGTTACGGTCGCTGGTTACTGCGGCCTTAACAACGTTAAAAGCTCATTTTATCAGAATCCATTTGTTCCCCAAGGATACCTTAACAAAAGCGCATGTGTTGCTCGCGGGCGCGCTGCGTTTTTTGCGAGTAGAGCGTGTTATCATCGGTAATCACAGGGAATCTGCCTTTTGTTTATATTTTTTAGAATGGCCTAAACTTTCCTGCGGAGGATTCGTTAACTAGATTCTGTTTTCAAGCCTACACTTTCGCTCGTAAAAACATTTGGGTCCCAAAATAGTCATCTTCAAGGAAACTTGAAATGAACGGTATCCTGTCGAGGTGATATTCTTTCCAGGCTTTTCTGTAGCAGTAGTTTTCTGGTTAGCAATGCCCTTCATGTTGAACTATGCGGGCAAATCCCGTGCCCTGATGTTACGTTTTAACATAGAGACCAACGGAAAAGTAATTATAAATCATAAATCTTTGCATATTCTAGCTGATTGCGATCTAGCGGCAACAAATCGCGATAACGAAACCGCACTGGACATCGCTGTACGTCGTGGTGACGCCATTATCATCTCGAGAATCGAGTTAGCGGCACGACAAAAGGGCCTCATGAACTCCACATGGAGGCAAAAACTCACCGAAAATAAGGTGAGTGGCGTTAACCTAATTTACGAGAGAGTTAATAGAATGAAAACACGACATTCGACCCCAGAAATGGACATCAAAGACACTGCGTACTATAACTGGTGTGATGCTGTAATGTGGAAATGGGATTAGCAAAAGATTCGTTTGTGAGGAGAAAACCAAAGTTTGGTGTTAATTGATCCTACAGCTGGGATGTGGGTACGCAACCGCCCATTTGGAGGTGCGCGCGACAAACTACGCGGCAAAATATTGGGTTGTCCGAAAAGTTCCCGCCGATTTTTGGTTCATCTTTGAATGAAAATTCCTAGAAGAAGGAATCCATTGATTGAACA